TTTTTTTAAAACGTTGCCAAAAGTTGCGTTTTATCATGCTTACTAAAATTTGATACTATAAAATAAAATTCACCGTGACGTTTTGAATTGTAAGTCCCTAAAGCTGCAATTAAGGGTGTTTTTAGCAGGTAATACTGTTGCTATGGTAACCTATTGTATCATGAAAATGATAACAACGTGTTCACCAATGATTGGGCAGTTTTTTGATACCTTAATTGTAGCATCAAGTGATAAAGAGTGGTTATATCGACCCATCAAAATCTAAGTCCTGGAAACAGTGTTGAGCCACCTTAACAATGATCTCTCCCACAGTCCTTCCAGGCTCCTCCAGGAATTTGAACATACAATTAAATCATTTAATTCTAATGGTTCGTGAAAAGATCCTCGATCTTGCAAGATCTCAGAAAGAATTCATTTTTTATGGTAAAGTTCTCTTCAAATACTTGTGGATTTTTGAAGGATTCTTCCAAAGATCAATGTAAGGATTTTTGTCAAGATCTTCACGTTGTCATAGTTCTGTACTTATTTGCATCTCATTGACTAACTGTTGTGTCTGTTGTCGTTTCAAGCCTTGTTTTACATAGCATTGACTTACCCTGAGGGAAAACCCTTCCAAGATCTTTTAAGGGCTTCAATCACCGGTGTCAAGGATCCTAAGATGTAAGGATCTTTCTAGGATGATCAAAGAATCTTAAGAAGGACAGAGTCGAGTCTCCATGTTTTGAAAATACCGTCATTATAAAGGCAAAAGTTTAAACTTCATGTTGGATTTGTTTCCACATGATCTTGCCACAGCTGGATTTCCAGGGTAAATCTTTCAGCCTAAAGGGACTCAAGAAGTGCTTCAAAAGGTAAAGCATTTCCTAAAAATATCAAGCAAACAAGAGTTAATGATATATCAATTAAAATTAGATCGAAAATATATAATTATTACCTTGCCTTGTACACGTAATTTATAACATCGAAATTCTACAGAGGTGAGCTGACGTGTCTGTTCTTTGGAAGGGGAGATGAAAAAAAAAAGGGCCGTTTAGATGAGATGAATTTCCAGTAAGTAGGATTCATGTTTTCCAGAACTGTGTCGACCCATTGTCCAGCACAGACCAGACTTGCTTCCCAAGAAAAACTTGTCCTGGAATCAAAATACCAAATTGTGCCAAGGACAAAATTGAACCACGATATAGACAACATACAGAAGTTTCTCACAAACACTATATTGCATTCTAAACTTAACCGAAATTATTCTTGTAGGTAAACATTGGACACCTTAATCTTGATATCAGCCGAACGAGAGCCATCATGTGCTCTTTGCATGTCCGACACTGCTGCGTCTAGGTTCCACGACAGTCACCCAGCTGCATAGATAGATAAAACGGACACACCTTTTTCTTCAGTGGAAGATAAAACGTTTAATTATTAAAAACAAATGGCAAAGGAAACGATGAAAATCTCTTACCTTTCTCCTTGAGAAAGTCCCGCTAGTCGCGCGTGAAAACCTGGTATCGAAAGTTAGTGTCCAGTTTACGCTCGTCGCAACCCAAAGGGAGTTGGAGCGTGTAACTTTGGAGGGAAATGTGTAAACAATACTGTACTGTTCGTAATATTGTTTAGATCGTAACTATTACCCATTTCGAGAATGTTCTATAATGCAGAACTAGACTGAGAGGTCTTTCCCAAGCTCACCACAGTATTTGATCTGCGATGTCGACTCCACTTTTTCCTCTTGGGGCAGGTCTTTTCGCGGACGGTGGTGGCACTAGCATTGACGATCTGTTTCTTTGCAGAAGGTATGTCGATCTACCCAAATACTTTGACCCAAATCTACTGTTTTTCGGATCAGGAGATGGACCTTTGAAACTGTGCCAACAATTGATGGATACCGTGGTGAATTCACCGAGTCTTTTGGCTGTTAGACCTTCCATTAGTCTGTTGAGTATGATTCCGTCTGTGATGGAAGAACTGCCTTCAACAATGAAAGGACTTCAAATTGTTGCCTTCGGCAAGAAATACAACTGGAAAGAAGACGACATCGAAGGCGTAGTTTACGTTACGGATTACCAATCTCTGCGATTAGACGGGTGGAAGAAGAAAAAAGATATTGCGGTCGAGGACTTTCTCGAGAGTTGGAAGATT